TCCCCGGTCCCTGGTCCCTGTCCCCCACACCACAGCCGAGTCTAAGGTCCTTGAAGGTCCAGACTGTTGCCTACAGTATCGGGCACGCAGGGGACAGTGAAGAGCTATCCAGGTGCCTGGAAACAGGTGTTCCATACATTCCTCCAGGATAAAAGATCAGACCTGCAGGGAATCTCAGTTTCCAGCTCTCTGGCTGAATGACTCTCAGGGTTACCGACACTTTGCTCAGCCTGTTTCCTTATCTATAAAGCTAAGCTGACTCACGGCTCAGAGTTGTGGACTCGGGGAGATGTACAGGTGGTGCTTGGCCATATGCCTGGCACTGAGCAGCTGCTCGACAGCTGGCAGCTATTATTACTATTCTCAGTTGCCGTCCTGCTGGAGTGACTGTGTCAGTGGGGACCTGGGAGCCGACAGGACTGCAGCCACCCCTGCTGGCTCCTCACCCACACTGACCCATGGAGACAGGACGGGCCGCAACGGCTTCCCTGGTACAGATGTACTCCAGGTGAGTTGTGCCAGAGCTGAATGCCATCTTGGGGGCTGAGCCACAAATCTGGGCTAAGCAGCAGGCTGTGCCCACACCTCCCCAGGAACAAAGTTACAGCCCGGGAAACGGAAGTTGCAGAGGTAGAAACCCAGGGAAGACTGCAGTGATGGAGCCAGGCAGGGGCAGGTAGGACACATTACAGAGGACACGTGTGAGCAGGCAAAGGAGGTGAGAAGACTGGAGGAAGCTGGCAGTGGCCCAGGATGGACCATGAGGGACAGCAGCTCTGAGAAGCGGGGACTCCTCACTGCATTGTGGCCCGGCCCCTGTGGACGCAGATGGAAGATGACCCCCCACAAGACTCAGTCCTCGGAGCCTGGCAGCCAGAGAGGAGGGGGTGGGAGGTAATGTCAAGCGTGGATTTGTAAGTTGGCACCTCCCTGCTCCCTGTGTCCCAAGAGGCGGAGCCAAGGGAGAGCCTGGGCTGACTCAATGCTCCCAGGACAACGGCAAAGGCAGACCAGATGGCCCTTCCTGGGTCCAGAGTTCCCGACCCGGCTCGGCTGGCTTCAGGCCTGGAAGCCTTTGTGCACAGAAGCCTCTGTTGGTGGACATGACCCCCAGGCTCTGGAACGCACTGTGGAAGAGGGGTACTGACGCAGGTCAAGGCTGGGAGGGGGAGGGTGTCATCCTGAGAGAAGACCCGTGGCCAGCTAGGCGCCCCCACGCTCAGTGCCCCACCACAGGGACCCTGAGACAGAGCTGTGCACCATTGCTTGAATTCCAAGGCCTTTAATTTGCAGCTAGAGTGCTGGCTTCTCTGGCCCCAGTTCCTCCCGCAATGCCATGCCCCACCCCATATCAGCCGCCTTCCTCCCCATGCCCTCCTCACACACCCCCAGTGCCCTGGCCCCTTTCCCAGCCTCCTAGGTGGGCGCGGCTGGGGGTGCTGCCAGGGCGCCCGCTGCTGCCTCTAGCATCAGCACGGCCAGGGCCTTGGGCCCCGTGCTGTGGATCTTCTCGTGCCGGTGCAGGTTGGAGCGGCGGCTGAAGCTCTTGCCACACAGGGGACAGGAGTAGGGCCGGACGCCGCGGTGGGTGCGCTGGTGGGCGGTGAGGTGCGAGCTGTGGCTGAAGCTCTTGCCGCAGTCGAGGCAGTGGTAGGGCTTCTCGCCGGTGTGCGTGCGGCTGTGGGCGATGAGGTTGGAGCGCTGGCTGAAGCACTTGCCGCACTCGGGGCACGGGTAGGGCTTGACCCCGGTGTGGGTGCGCTGGTGGGTGACCAGGGCCGAACTCTGCGTGAAGCACTTGCTACAGACGGGACATTTGTGGGGTTTGGCGCCCGTGTGGGTGCCCTGGTGGGTGACAAGGTCTGAACGGCGGGTGAAGCGCTTGGCACAGCGCTCACACACGTAGGGCTTCTCACCGGTGTGGATGCGCTGGTGCTGGATGAGCGTCGAGTGGTGGCTGAAGCTCTTCCAGCAGGAGGGGCAGGTGTA